TTGGTTTTTTTATTTTACTATTTTAAGAAGGGATCTAATTGGCGATAAATTTTCATCCAATGATGACTGATTTTTTTAATCACATCCTGATCTTTCCTCAGGGAAGTTATGTGAGAAATAATCTATGGCGCTAGCGAAATGAGTCATAAAAAATCCTCTACGAGTGGCGCATGTAAATCATGTACTAATTTGGAGCATAAATTGTCATGGACGTAAGCTATGAACAGGAGTGATTGGTAATTAAATGCTGTAGGAAATGCGGGCTGTCAGTGAGATAATTACGACGTATTCACTCAAACTTCTGTCTACGTCACATACAGGATTTAGCTCCAGACTCAATTTCCAGGGCACAAAGGAGGTCGCTCAGAAGCAACTAAAGGATATACTAGCAATGAGCGTCGGTGGTGGTGCTCGGCCAGTCCAAGGTGGAGCGCACCAAAACGCCGCTGCTCCAATGGGAACCGCAATGCCAATGGGAGGACCTCGTCCAGCTGGTCCAGGCGGTCCAATGCCAGGCGGAGCACCTAATGCCGCGTATCCAGGTGGTCCAGCAGCGGCTCCTGCTGGTCCACAGCCCACCACGTTCAACAAATTCCTTCAGGTAATTGATCAAAACTGTTGGTGTTTCTGAGTTTCACTGCTAGTTTTTCTAATTCTTCTGGGTCTTTTCAGCCAATCAGCGAGTGTGATGAGTCGATTAACGACATAATTGATCAAATCAGTGTGGATCGCTGGCCAGTACCACAGGGTCATAGACCGCTTCGCGCCACTGGCGCCGCGCTGGCAGTAGCAGTCACATTGCTGGAGGTAAACACTCATTTCCATAATGAGGTCCAGTTGGCTCTAGGGTTTGGTAATCCTAATTCAACTTTTAGCAATGCTTCCCCAACACTGGCGCTCGCATCATGGCATTCGTCGGTGGAGCATGCACCCATGGACCTGGTGCTGTCGTTGGTGAAGAACTGAAGCTGCCAATTCGTTCATGGCACACCATCAAGGAGGACAATGCCATTTACATGAAGAAGGTGTGACGAGGTTTCATGGAATGTTCGAGGGCATTTCCCCAAATTCTTGGAATTTCGTTATCCATTGAAGCCACCATGAATTCCTGAAATTTAGGCCACCAAATTCTATGATTCGCTAGCGAGTCGTGCCGTGAAAAATGGACATGCGATCGATATCTACTCGTGCGCACTCGATCAAACTGGTCTTCTAGAGATGAAGAACTGCTTCAATTCGACAGGAGGTGCTTATTTTACTTAATGAATTCTGTATCAAAAATTGCTTGGGCCCAACCAAGAAATCTAATTCTTTCGGCATCCAATGGCTATCAAACCAAATTGAGGGCAATTTACTGCTTCGATCATCGGTTGGTACTGGAAGACATGTTACAAGCTAGGGATGCACTTACCAGGGAAGGCATTCAACTTCCCATGGAACTTTGAATGAGACCCAGATATATCGATAGAGCTTCAAACGCTGATTACAAATATGGAAACTAAAACTGCAAAATGAACCTGCCAAGGAAGTTGTGAGCAGTCAAAGTTGGCTGGAAAGTAAAGCATTACATATGAACCGTGCTAGCTTCCGGGCTTTCAGAGTCGCCGTGGAGTAGTGGTAGTGCTCTCGCTCTCCAGCCGGGAGGTCGTGCGTTCTCTTTCTGTTGGAGTGCAACTTTCGAGAGCACTACCACTACTCCATGGCGACTTTGAATGCCCGGACGGTACCACGTTTCATATGAAACGCTTTGTTTCCAGCCAACTTTGACTGCTCACAACTTCCTTGGCAGGTTCATTTTGCAGTTTTAGTTTCCATATTTGTAATCAGCGTTTGAAGCTCTATCGATATATCTGGGTCTCAATTCAAAGTTCCATGGGAAGTTGAATGCCTTTCCTGGTTAGTAGCCTTCGTGATTTTTTCACTCAAGTGAATTTCATGCGTATCTCAATTTTTTTATTTACTTGCGTACAATCGACGCGCTTCCGAAATTAGCAGAAGATAGTTTAGAGCAGAGCGGTTGATGAGTGACTAGTAACATGAACTTGAGAAAAATACGAAAAATAAAAAATATTGAATAAAAAAGACACAGCAAGAAAAAACAACAAAAAAAGAGGCAGCATCAAACTAGTAGAGGGTATGCAATAATTCAGTGCCCAAAATATAATCATAGTGGAGGAATAAAGAGAAGGGCGTATCAGTCAAGCGATCGCATGGCAGTAGCTCAGTAAGGGATATTGCAGGAAAAGGGAATCCATCCAAAAGATGGAAGAAGGGCAGGGTGCCGAGAGTCTTTCATGAGCGCATTTATCAACGGCAAGTCGTGACACGGACTCGCGCCAGTCGGCTATGATACCCAATCTTCTCGAAATTGTTTTTATCCTTCTTGTCCTTGGTTGATCCAACAATAACATGGAATAACCACATGCGTTAATCGGACTTTGCGGGAGACTAAGTGTGTGTATAAATGTTTGATGCAGATCTTTATGGGAACCAGCCTTTGTTCCTGCATGAAAGATAAGTGACGCATCGACGGATTAAGCACTTCTCGTATCCTACGAGCTATCTTTCTCCGGATGAGTTGGATCTGATTGTGGCCAGGAGTTTCGAAAACTGCATAATGAGCAAGCGGTAGGGGTTCGAATTGCACGGAAACTCCTAAGCCTTTATGGCGGGGTGTGGTTTCTCAGCACCCGCTTTAGATGTGGTTCACTAGGACAGAAAGCGACTTTTTCGCGTTTCGCAGCGCGAAACATTTTCTCGCTGCGGGAACCTCAGGTCCACCGCTGATCATCAGTGGACCCGAGTTCCCGCAGCGAAAAGTGTTTCGCGCTGCGAAACGCGAAAAAGTCGCTTTCTGTCCTACTGTGACACATCTGATTGGGGTGATTGTGAAGACTGTGCTCCCTCCACTGCTCACATGTATTGATCGGTGATATAATAAAATATATAAAACACAGTTAGATCGTATCTACCTTTAAGTCGACCTTTGACGTGTATCTTGATGCAGATAAGTAGGAAAGTAGTAGCAGAATGAAGGAGCATAGCCATTGAAAGTTATCAAATCCGCATTCTTTCTACTGCGACCGCTGTGTCCGGCAGGCGTTTCCACGGTGGCGAGGTTGCACACCCGTGTGCCGAGTTCGACCTTTTCCATTTCTATCGCACAAGGTTTGGACCATGACCAACTGGTGTGGATACATTCTTGTTAGTCTACTTCAGGCTGTTATGCTGTTGCAAAGCACTGGCAATATTATATGAAATATTTTTTATCAATGTTTAAGTTGCCGACATGGCACGTACTGCGGCCAATCACCGTCAGCTTGAAATTAACATTCCTCTTACTACTTTCCTTCAAATTTCCTGTGACTTATGCTGTAGCGCTGTGCTCAACAATTAGGGTATTCACGATGAGTATATAATAAATAATATAAATAAAGTGATATTCAGCAGAAACTCAAGCACAATTACAAACAAATTCCAAATATGTCATACTAGGTCAAGGTGAGTCGAAGTTGGTAGACGAAGCGTAATCGTTAGTTCTTTATAAAATAGACCTTTTCTCAGAGAGTAGAATTGACTTTAGAATGCACTTCCATATTAGGCGGGCGGAGCGATCGAACGCATTCTCATAGATCGAATTGCTTAGAATTGTGAAACATAAAAACATCAAAGTTATATTAATATAATGCTTGTATGTGCTCGGGATCGCGCCGGGTGAGTTAATAAATTCGTACTTTTATTACCAGTCGGCTACTGTATACCTGGCTGATCTAGAGCAATTGATTTCGTCGAGTTGATGTGTTTGATTTCGCGAGATTGAGTGCGAATCAAGGTCTAATGTGGCCGCTCCACGTCCGAATGAGTGATCTTTGTTTAGCATAGTTTCAAGAGAAATATTCACTCATTTATTCGGGTTTAGGAAATGTGGTGATGGGAGACTCATTCAATTCATCACTGTTCAAGCAGACTTATCAAAGGGCTTTTGATAAAGATGCAAACGGCCAGCTGAAAATGGGCTTCAACGCCACAATGGAGGTATGCTGATATATTTGTTAGCTTTCTAGCGGTTTTTTTAGGGTTTCTGTTCGTTAAGTTCAGAATCGGTTGCGCTCCATGCAGCGCTTTTAACAAATACTAGCATGCTACTATTTCTGGTGTTTTTCTTGAATGAATGTTGGCCTTGTTCTCTATGTTGAAGTGGGAAGTATGGACTCGTAGGAAGGAAGTTTGCTGAGCAATAAGTTCTCGCTGAAATACGTCTACATAGGTTTATTGTACGGTTGACTTAGTTCAGTTGTGAGAAGTAGTTCTGCTATCGCACATTACTGGAAAGGGACAGAACTAAATTCTTTTACTCTGCCTGCAGCGATTAGGAAGTAGTAATCGTAATTATGGGTTTTTTCCCAATCCAGAACCGCCGGATGTCCTGGCTTAGCAATGGGAAGTCCGATGGCGTCATATTGGGAGCAGTGCATTTGTGAGCATTCAGATCAGGTTTCTGTATGACAAATTGCACTTTGCCAATAACAGCAGAGCTGAACTAAGGAAATACACACAGTTTTGGTGTAATATGTGATTCCCCGTTGTATTTTTGTGCGCTGTAGAGGTGGCAGCGTGGTGACGGGACAGTGTGGTACGCTATCGTGCCGCAGCCTTAGTATATGTTTTCCCTGAATGCGGCCTGCGTTTAGCTTAGATTTTCTACTTTTTTTTTGCTTTCGGCCGAAATGCGAGATCCACAAAATTGCGCCTTTCCTAAGTGGCCGAAAAACTGCAATATGTGCTGTTGATAAGGTGTCATTAGTTGAAATTTCAACAGTAAGTCTTAATGTGTATGCTTCAGGTGAAGACAGGCAACGGTCTACGGATTGAAGGTGGCACGGTTCGTAACGCCTGCGTCTCCGACACGGAGATGGGTATAGGAGGCACATGTCAGTGGAAATTCTGTTCACTCACGCCGAGGACGACGTTGTGTGTTCTGTTTGAGATATCAGCACAGGTGCGGTGGCTTCCATTATTTTGAATTAAATAAAAAAATTCGATCAAGTTGGAGGGAAGCGGCTGTTTCCCTTCTAAAGTATATGGAATCCTAAATTAGTGAGCTCGGAACCGCATGTTGATATCTTCAGCCAGCCCTAGGGAAGGAAACCTGTTTAAACTTCTTTGTTTGTTTTTGAAATAGTTCTTCTCTTGAGGGCCTATTTTTATAGTAGCATATATAATAAATACCTTTAAAATACATCCTTTCGGGGCTTCAGAGAAAACTAACAAATTGTCGAAGGATTCTCTTGTCTATCCGCGGCAATAAAACTGATTACTTATCGTAAACTGAACAGCTGATTCATTGGGCATAAAGGAACTGAGATTAACATACCATATTGCAAATGTTTTTCTATATATTAGGTGGTTCAAGGTCAGAGTGGTGACCGTAGTCAATTGACATGGATGAGTCGTAGGCTCTTGCCGTCAAAAGATCAGGAGTTTTTAAGTCAATAGCAGGGTGAATAACGGTCGAGGAATTCCTCGACCATGGCTCTCTACCGTGCGAGAGTAGTGTCGAGAGTGAATGAATGCGCGGAGAGCACAGACGGCTCGCGGGTGGCGAGAGTGAGCATCCGCGTGGGAGAGCGTGAAAGAATCCTCGACGAGCCGTTGTCTTTTCCTCAAGCGATTTTCACCCTGGTCAATAGGCAAATACGCTGTGGCAATAAGCGACATATATCACTCGCAAAGTTCATATTATACTGAGTGTCACACAAGATAAACATTTTTGTCATACATCGCGTGATTAAAGCGGCTAATATCTCGCATAATCGAAGTTGATGACATGAGCTGATTCCCGAAAAGCGTTCTTCGGATTAAACACATGTTCGACCGCATCCACGATTCTCAGTGAGTTCACAGGCATGGCGCATTCCTGAGGTTTTCTCTACGAAAAACCTCTACACCCCTTAGTCACGATGATGTAGTAGGTTACATGCCTACTCGTGTGTATTTCGAATGGTTGGAAGTAGTATATCTGACGTGGGAATCAGCTCTTCTGTCGTTGCAGCTAAAGTTGATTTAGGGTACTTGATGATTAATGAGCCGATTTTGGAAGCGCATGTGATTCCCCGCAGTCATGCGGAAAGCGCCAGAACTCTCATGCATTCCTGAATTGCTTTTTTCCATGCCCTTTTCATTTTGAATTGTTTTCGTTTGTCGAGAAGCGCTATATGCTGATGCCAAGGCTAAAGAGCAGATAACTATTAATGAGTTTTCAGCATGGATCCGCAATTGCACAAGGTGCGCGAGGAATGGTGCAATTTGTGACGCAGTATCAACATGCAGATGGTAGGAAGAGGATCCGTGTTACGACCACATGTAGATCTTGGGCAGATATGGCCACCCAGCAGCCGAATATAGCGTATGGCTTCGATCAGGTCCGTATTTCTCACGTTTTAAATGAATCAGTTTTGTCGGGCCGGCAATTTTAGCAGAGTTAGGGTTCTTTCGTTTTTTGAAGTAATTGCTTGTTATTTTCTTTGAAGCTCCTCACGAGGTTGGCAAATAACTTATTGAGCTTACGTTTCGGCGAGGATCGCCTTCTTCAAAGCCGTAATACAGTCCAGTTGTCGAGACCACAAGAACAGCAGTGAGGCGATCGGACTGTTTGGTGATTCAAAAACAGTCCGATCGCATTCCAACGACTCTTTCAGGCTCTGAAGAAGGCGATCCTCGCCGAAACGCAAGCCCAATAAAAGTTATTTGCCAACCTCGTGAGGAGCTTCAAAGAAAATAACAACTGGCTTCATTATGCCGAGGTTCATGCAAAGCCGTACATGAAGTAATTGCTAAGATGCCTTAGTAGTAAAGAAAGTTTTCAGTAAGCACTTTATACGATAGTCCAAGTTTATCTACTTTGAATCCATTAGCTTTATGAGAGTGGTCGGATCAGCTCAATTCTACTTATGACGCTTTAATTCTGTTCTGGAAGATTACGTAGACTCGTCAACCTAAATGGCTCAGTTTGTTGTAGCGTTTAAGTATGCACTTTTGGGTATATGAGCTCAGCATTTTCCAGGCTCCTTGGGCCGTGGGGAACCCTTAGTAGCACGAGTTCAAGGAGAAATGACATCGAGCTTCGGTGAGCCTTAACTCCATTAGAACTAATCATGCTAGAACTAAGAAAGAGTATTTTTTGGTCTTGCGGCGCGGATAGTGCTGCCATTAGGTTTCCGGTAGTCCAGTCGTTCGTGGCATTCCTGTGCGGTGTGTTAAAGCACCGCGGCACTATAGCGCACCCTACTGAAACGGCTAGTGTTCGTACGTGAGCTGTTGATCGTTACACCCCACGGACATGAGGCGTGCCTCGCTACAAATAGGAGAAGGCCACAGAAAGAAGGAACGCATAGAGATAAAAGGCGGATTCGCCGTTCGGCAGTACTGCATTGTCGCTAGGTGCCCTAGTCAAAGCGGAGTAGGTGAAGGGTAAAGCTGCTTTTTCTGGAGGGAGAAGGTTAAGAAGTGTAATGATCGCGGAGGTGCGAGCGGCAAGCAAGAGGTTGTACTTGTAGAACAGCCGGAAGCAGCGCAGTGTACGCAGAAGAAACTCCGTAAGCAGGGGCGTCTTCCATGAGTTCCACTGTGTTCAGGAAGCTGGTGCAGTGGCCATTGCTCGTCTGGCATCATGGAGAGCTACCAACGAGAACGACACTCCAGAAAAAGCGCTGAGTATTGGCTTGACCGCACCGCTTATTGAGATTCGAGGGTGAGGGGTTTTCTTTCAACATGAGGAATTGCATTATTTGTCCAGTGTATTTATTCAGTGCCAAAAATTCGGGGAATACGCTAAAGACGATCCAAATTCTTTCCGACTGACGGATAAATTCTCACTCTTCCCACAATTCATGTTCCATTTGAGAAGGTCACAATTTCTGCAAGTGTTCAACAATTCACCAGATGAAACTGCTTATTATAGGTGGGTTTTGTTTTGGTCTTCTTATCTCGAAGGTGCGATATGAAAGACTATTTATACTAACATTATTCCACAACCTTACAAAAAGCTCGAAATAAACTTTTGTTTTTTTACTCTTTTATCAAATCGTATACGTTGCGCTTACTTTATCTTACTCCCGCAATACTGGTAGTGGTGCTCCATTCCATGAGAACGGCCTTTGAGTTTGTTTATATCACACGTGGACGACACTGAGACGCAGTTGTGGGTTTTAATTTCACCCGATCCTCGCTAGTTTTTTTTCGTTTTTTATCTGGCATTTTTCATCTTTCAAAAACGTGTGCACGTGTCATTCGAAAAACTGTGCATCAAATTACCAGTGTGAAATTATTGGAAAAGTTTTAATGATTGTGAGAGATGAAAAAAATTAACAAAAAGGTGCCGAGGTACACGCACAAGGGGCTGTCGTCAATGTGTTGAAAATTGATAGTTGTGAAGTTTCTTTCTGTGTTCTCTAGCGTTTCAATAAGAAAAATGATTTCAGGCATATCTTATTCTCAGAAAATGTACTTGAGAGTACGACAATGATCCAACCGGTGCTGTTCAGTTATTCCTTCAGGTGAGAAGCGCAGTATCCTATTTGTTTTACTGGAGTTCACAGGAAACAGGAGAAAAGCACATCATTTTTCCACTTTTCAATGCATCTGAATAACCTAACAGCGTATAGAATTGTAAAATTCAAAGAACTCCTTTTTGAAATTTCAAAATAGTAGGTCGCTTGTAATGGGTTGTGCAAATAACACGACTAAAGGGCTGCGAGGCTCGAGCTTGGAAGTTGACTTTGATTTTGCAATATCTCGGCAAGGGCGCTTATTGCTGACACCCGCACTACAATGTATTGTTTCAGTGGACCACCCGAACCAGTTCTCCTGGACACTTCTTCCATATTGCCTGATAGAATTCTTCTTATGGATGACTACTTCCATGTGCTCATCTATTATGGACAATGAGTTCCCCCCCCCCCCCTCTACTCCCCCTCCTTGTTTTGTGGATCAAAGTTTCTGTCTTTCCGTTCTTATGTTATTCTTGTGGACTCTTTTCCAACCCAATATTTGAAGACGATTGCGGCGTGGAAAAAGATGAACTACCACGAAGATCCGCAGTATGCGACGTTCAAGCAGCTTCTCGAAGCACCGGTCGGAGATGCAACAGCTATACTTCAGGAGCGATGGCCAATGCCGCGATACATAGTGACGGAGTACGAGGGATCTCAGGTGAGTGGATCGCTCAAAATTGGCCTAGCAATCGATCGTTAACAGGAATTATTTACTTATTTGGTTTTGCTTACAAATAAAGTGCTAGACTATTATATTCAGTTTATTAAAAAAAGCAGTAGTGAAAGTAAAGAAAATATTTAGGCCCGCTTCCTGTTGTCCAAGGTCAATCCATCTCTAACACATAACAACCCTTACGCATCGGTCAGTTTCTATTCGTTCTTGTACAAAACAGCTTTTGAGGGAAGCTGACGAACCCCACGCTCAAATGTCACCTTTTTAAAAAAATTTTATCTCATTTTTAGTACGTCATGTCTTACCATTAGAGGAAACCGTTAGCGGTACTGAACAATGCATAAAAACCAAGCGTATTCTGGCGTGCGAAGCATTTAAAGCCAAGTGGGTTTGCTGGACACACTGCAATCAGATAAGAAAAAAAGTTTATGGGCAGGGTCCACGCGACCACACATCAATAGGATCACTAATATTGTGGTTACCTAATCTCTATGTGCCAAGGAGTCTTATCCTGTAGAGGCGAAGTCTGGTAGATAACCCACACGTCTCAGTTGTATTGTAGTTTTGAAGTAGAATGCAAATCAAAAAGTTTGGTGAACTGGGGACACTTAAAGGAGCTATGAAGGGGTGGGGGTGCGCAAAGGCTAAGGGTGTGGATCAATCGAAAACTTCGGAGACACTGTTATTCATAAAGTAAAGATGTTGCTCAACAAAAAAATTCGCACATGGTGGGTTGTGCTGGATTGATGGTCCGAAAAAAAATATTTTTTCGCGTCTTGCGTGTGGTGGCAAGCTAGGCGTGAGGTCACTAGTCGTCCATAAACTTCAAATCCTTTTCCTGGACAATTTTCTTAGGGGAAATGTTGGAAGGTGAATGTTAGAAACTCGTAGAAAGGAAGGAGGATTCCGATTTGTCTTGATCCATTTTAGTTTTAGCCTTTTTCACTTCGAGTCATTTGTTAGCGTTGGGTTTCCAGTTACCAGATTTACCATTTTGCTTCTTTGAAAAAATTCAAATTTAATTTTTTCAGGAGGGCGGAGCTCCAGTTTTCACCGATGACGTGTCGTTGCAAGTTCTTCATGGAGCATCTCAAGAAACTCGCTTCCTCGTCATCAACATAAAGAAAGCATTGCGTTTCCATCCAGAAAGCCTTAGAAGCTCTCCTGGCCGAATCTTTGTAGGATACATGAGAGAGTAATTTCAGTCCTTTTATTTTTATTGCGTGACCTAATTTATGTCCAATCTATGCAGTATTTCAAGTAAGGCAATTCTACGACATATGTGATATTAGAAAGCATCATTGTTATTTGAAGTTGTTTCTAGGGGTGAGAATGTGAGTTAAATTATTTATTATGAATACTTGATTGTTTCTTGTTCCATAAGATAAAGGCTATATTTCTCAATATGTCAGTTTTTGGTTTAGAAATATTTTATTAATTATTGCATTGAAATCTTTCACTATTAACAAGAGCGAAGGGTTATGAACAACCGTGAGTTGGAAATTCGTGAAGAGAACAAGTTGAGGTCTAAAAAGATATTCAGGATCATCAAAATCCAGGAATTATGCAGTAAGCTTCTAGTGTGCTGAGTGTGAGATATGCGATCCAGACGAGTACGAATACCGCTGAGCTGATGTACTTGAGCCGTACAGGACCACCCAGTTCGCCTGCGATTGTCTTGCTAAACCTGTAATAGGGAGAGGCAGTGGGGCCAAGTTCGTAACGGAACGGTTAAAAGAAGCCCTAGAGTAATGGTAACTCAACGAACCGTCGATATTGTAGTACAGCGATACAGATGACGGAGCCAATGATGAACATTGTCACCGAAAACGCCAACGAACCGGTTTGTACCCTTAAATTTTGCATGATTGAAGGCAGAATTTACGATGAAAAGTTAGCTCATTGGAAATAAGGTAGAGGTGGTCAGTGGAGCAGGGAAGAAGAAACCATTTGAAACGGCCCGAAACCCGAGAAATGGGACCCCTTCCTTGCCCGTTGATTTGCGCATTGATGCGACTCTCATCGCTGTGCCCTCTCTGCTATCTAATCACTCGCCACGTATAGACCTGCGGCGAGTGATTAGATAGTCGGTGGGCGTACCCCGCCAACCGCGCCAAGAGTGAGCCATGCTAGATCGCCGAGGTCAAATCTTTCGCTGCCAATTGCGCGTCGGTCAGCACCCTCAGGAGGTCCGCCTGTCTCCCAACTATGCAATTTTCCCCTTCTTTGACCTTCGTTCTTATCGTGAATTCCTCCTTTAAAGGCAAGATTCAGGATTAAATTATGAGGTAATTCCACTCAAATGTGAAAGTAGGGGTAGGAGTGGACCGCAGTGAAAAAAAAATCGTGAAATGCACAGGAAATACGAGCCTTTTGCTCTACGCTGCGGAGAAGTTCAAAAGGCCGGCAGGGAGATGAGAGATAATGTGAGCGCGGAGAGCGCTAGAGAAGTACGAGTAGAGACAGCATAGCAGATCAAGTTAGCGACGCAGACAAGATATCGAGCGGTGGGCGGAGCGTGTCGCAACAGGTGGAGCGTGTTCAAAGTTCTTAGCGCCTAGCGTCTAAGGAACGCTTTTCAAAGTAGGGGAGTGAAGCGACCTCTGCACTTGCCGTACCCAACGCTTGTAGCCACAGTAAAGCTATTAAGTGGGTCACCTATACCTTTTACGTTGGTATCTTAGAGGGAGATCAATTAAAGCAAGCGACCACGGAAATGGTTATGGCTATGTCTAGTGCCCTCATAAGGGCAAGCGAAAATAGCAATGTTAAGAAGCGGGGGCCATAAAGCCATTTCTCCGCCGTAATAGTGCACTAATTGTTTTTTGGAGTTTCTGTAGATTGCGGCCTGTGCACTTTCCCGGGTATACGCGGGTTATACGTTGGGAGCTAAATGCAATGCGGCTACTATGTACTTCGGGTAGCATAATGTTATAATTGACGCCGCTTTCGGCCGGGGAGTGTTAACGGTAGTAGCCATTGCTTCCACGGTCGGAGCTAGCGAGAAGGCGACGCCCCAATGTAAATAAGAGTCCTTGCCTCAAATGTCGTTTTGAAGGTGTTCGGCTGGTGATGGACAGATATAAAAGTGTTTTGTTCAGCAATTGGGCTAGTAACTTATGGGTGTTTTGATCCTTCACTTCATCTCCGCTATATTTTAGGCTTGAGATTGTTCATTAGAGTTGCTTTTAACATCCTTGAAAAACTTATTCTCAGAGACTCCATCCCATTAAAAAGTACGGTAAAAGTAACATTTTTGGATCTTATCAGCTTGCCATCAGAAGAGAAATAAAGCATAAGGGGTAAATCACGTAGTTCGAACCCTTTTTGAAATCGTGGTGGCATTCTGATTGCGATTTGGTCTGTGCCATCCCTAGCTCTGGTCAAGCGTCCACATTTAAATCTTATTATCCTCCCACACAAGGGGCGACGGACTTTTGGTGCGTCCGGGGTTGCACGCGGCGAATCGCGCGGCGGGCTGCGCGGCGATCCGGACGAGGCAAGTCTTCGCGGGCTCCTGCAGTGGAATTCAACACGTCAGAACGTGTGCAGATCGCGGATAGAATCCACAAGGTTCTGCTTTGAAAAAAACTTTCCCACTCGCGGAGATCGGTGAAATGCAGCGATGAGATGTTATTATTGTCAACTCTATATCTCTGCTAATCGCGGCGCTCCTGTCCTTGGGGAGAACTTTCAAAACAGGGCCAATGGAAGGTGACACTAGAACTAAGCTCATGAGAAGGGAAATACGCTCGGGAGAACAAATTGCTCACATCCTCCACGAGAAACTCTTCCCCTCAGGCTTAGTCCCAAACACAATAATTGGTTGAATCTCTCCGCTCATGGGATTCCCCCCCCCCTTAACAACAAGCGCCAGCAACCTAAGCGCCCTGATTGCTATAACAGCCTTTTGCTATTCCTTTTCTTCTCTTCCTGCCGCTGCCTTTGAATATCCACGCGTTGGAATGTAATTCGAATCGCAGAACCTTGTGGATTCTATCCGCGATCTGCACACGTTCTGACGTGTTGGATTCCACCGCAGAAGCCCGCGAAGACTTGCCTCGTCCGGATCGCCGCGCAGCCCGCCGCGCGATTCGCCGCGTGCAACCCCGGACGCACCAAAAGTCCCGCGCCCCATCGTCACAAGGATGGCGAGGCGGAAGTGGTGTATTGGCAAGTGGCAAGCTGCTTACCACGTGACTGGTCCTGGGACCAAACCTTGGGTTGAGCGTCATCAGCGCTGACCAACCTTCCATCCCTCATGGGGCGGTTAGTTGCTATCAGACTTGTCTTGGGAAAGATAAAACACTGATCTGCACTCGGCCCTAGTCCCCCATTTTCATTGCGTATACGCTAAAATCGCCTTCGCAAATTGCCACTACGACAATGAACTGGAAGAGCATGCGTTGCGGCATCCAAAGACGGACTGATCAGACGCAGGAATGTCACCTGTTTCCTGGTTCCGTGCAACGAAGCCATGGTGTCCTCCGCACATAACCTAATCCTCTAACAACCGCGTAATGCCGTGAAACGTTCACCTACGTAACGTATGTATCTTTCACGAAGGATCCTCGACGCACGGATGCTTATGCTGTTTTATCCTTCTACAACTATCGTGCCACTCGACATTGGAAGGGTTAAAGGCAAGATTGGCCTGGACGGCGTGCGGTCCAGGAGTTTGATCTCCAGACCATCTGCGTGGTAAACGGCATCTTGCCACCGCCACCACTTTCGCCCTTTTAAAAGTAAATTGACTCACATAAATCTGGTGCCATTCCACGCATGGACGCAGGCTGCGATCGCCCACGCAATTCCAATACCCAGGAACACGTTGACAGCATTGGAACCCGTTGACATTGCCTGAAACGTGAGTGAATAAGTAGAAAATCAGCAAATAAGAAAGTCATTTAGGTTACGACTCACCAATAGAGCTGTCAGCCCAGCTGTCCTGTATGGCCGCCGTCTTCGACGCAAATGTGTCTGAAAAAAGTTGGCAGTTCTTGGTGAACCTGCAGCTGGATCAACACTGCGTTCTTACCAGGTACACTGGTTCCCATTGCGACGAGTGAGATAGCTGTCACTGCGTCCTTCATTCCTACCGTGCAGCCGAAATGTGATGCTAAATCGCCGATGACCGCTGTTAGTAGACCAATCATAACGATGGCAAAAAAGAAGCACAGCCAGCCTGAAATAGTGGGCTTTCACGGCACTGTAAGAAAGACAGCTATTGCTTGTCAGGGGGGGGGGGCGAGGGAACACTCGAGAAGAGCATCTAGTTCCTATTTGCCTCGCTCTTTCGTACTAGTGCTTTTATTTTTTTTTCTTCAATTCTCATTTTCTGAGATGCCAAAGACCACGAACAACGTTTTCCATTGATCCCTCGACAACCGTTAAGACCACGAAAACGTATTTCCATGATTCCTGGCAACCGTAGCTAACAGCAATTGTATAGTAACAAATAAAAGAGGGGGTGTTGGTCGAGACGTGAGACTGTGGTGACGGGGTAATAGCATCAGCGTGAGGGTATTCCAAGGTATGCAGCGGTATACGAACAAATAGTGACAGTGAAATTTCCACGCTAAGGCGTGAGTAAGGACCAGGTTTCGGTGCGGCAATCAGTATGTCCTGACCCATTAAAAGAGACAGTCGACCTACTAGAACTAGTAGTCTTGGACGAGAGCTAATTATGGTTCGATTTTGTCGAAGAAAATACCAAAAGTTATAGCGCGATTTCGGGAGGGGAGTTGGGAGGGGGAGACTTGCTGCAGTGGCAAGTGACGCAACCTACTGCGCGCAGGATCCGGAGATCGAATTCCTGAATCGTACGCCGTCCAGACCAACAAAGCCTATCCCCCCATCAGGGTCGGTTAGTTGATATCAAAGATGTCTGGGATAAGGCATTGCCTTGTACTGTACATCGTACTCGCAAATCATTGCAGTATAGGGCAAATCAATCACATTTAAGGTGCCACCATAATTTCGTATGAAGAAGAATGTATGGCGCATCCCGAAAATTTGATTGCTTTGTCGCCGATTGCTTCGTCCTATCTTCCAATTGAAATGTAGCTACAACTCGCTGCGAAGCCTGTGCTTTAGCGAGGTATCCAGGTAAGTCCTGCAGCGGCCAAAAATTTTTAGCGAAACGATTTTTCTCAGATTGTTTTCTCCTGTCTAACCATAAGCTTTGAGGATCCACATCATTCCAAGAAGAGGTTTTCATTCAATTTTTGGATTTTGTCCAGAGGACAAAACAGAAAAAGCTGTTCTGACCGACGTTTTTGTCTTGTGCGTAAACACACTTGCACCATGCTTGAATTAGATTTATTCCGCCTCATGGAAGGCAAATTCATGGCGTAGTCTAAGTATAAAAATAGAATAAATTTGACTGACCGTTGTAGTAGTCAGTTGGTGGTATCAAAGCAAATAGAACTTTCCATGGAAGAGAAACATAATGCATAATCTTCTCCTTCAGTGTGATATTGCCATCTTCGTCTGAAATATTACTAATTACACAAACATGCGAAAAAATTCTACTCAGAGTCAGTCCGTTTTCTTTGGTTCGATCGTTAGCGGATCAGCAGTGCCAATTTTTCATCGTGCTGGTGCCATCCCTCTGGATACATGGAAGAAAATAGGGCTATAGTAGTCTTTTTATACTGTGGTTTTGAAGTTCCGTGAAGATAATAGGGCTACCGTCCCCTTACAGCCACAGACTTCGTTTTCTATCCTTTTTCTTTCTATGCGCGGCACTTGCCACGCATGGATGGCAAATAAATTAAATTAGAATATAATAAAATAAAATGAGTATAACTGACGAAGCTTGAGTGCTTTTTTTTTGAATTTCTTCATTCATCTTATTTAAATACGAAGAAAGTGAATTGTTTTTGTTTGTTAACTGCTGTTTTTGGCCGCAGTTCGCCTTGCGAATGTTTCACAAGAATGCTGGGTTGTGAAACAAACTTTCGCCCCAGACGGGATTCCAACCCGCAACATTTCTTGTGAAACATTCGCAAGGCGAACTGCGGCCAAAAACAGCAGTTAACAAACAAAAACAAGTCAAAATTCATTGCTAAAGCTTTCAGCCTCGCGGTCATTGCCGATATCGGCTAACCGGCTCAACACGTTAGACGTGTGAGTGCTGAAAGCTATGGTACGTATACCATGAAAAGCTGAGTTGGAATGAAATGGTGCCCCGGTAGCGTAACTGGTAGCGCACTTGCCCGGAAAGCGAGAGGTGCGGGTTCTAGTCCCGCCTGGGGCGAAAGTTTTGTTCACAACCCAGCATTCTTGTGAAACATTCAATAAAAGTGATAAAGAGCAGGTTCAGCCTCATTTGTAACCTTTAAGGCCAGAATATGATGAGGTTTTTTGAGACATTGAGTTTTACCGTACCCTTTAACAAGCATGGTATTTCACCCACACCAACCGAAGGAGAGGCTTGTCTAACATAAGCGGGTTTGATCCAACAGCTTGTTCAAAATGACTAATGCCTTTCAGCTCGTCTGTTCCACAACTGCTATAGCAGAGTGCTCAGTACAAAGCAGTCTTCGATGTATCCTGTGGAACAAAAAATGACCGGGTCATAAAACTGCACGATGTCTTAACCAATGCGCGCACGCACATCGCTGGTCAGTGCATAGTGGCGCAGTGGGTGCGTTTTCGCCTGTCACCATCGTGACCAGAGTTCGAGTCCGCGCCCGGTCGAATGATGTCATAAGTTATCCCTGTCTGATTAGAGTTGAGGAGTTAACATTCTGACGACACAGGACGTTTTAGATCTCATACTGGATGAAATCTCGACTAATTTTCAACATATAACAACCAATGAATGGGAAAAGAAATAGCTGAGATAGACCTTGAAATTCGCAGCGGCTTACTTAACCTAGTTTCATCAAATCGACTTCTTTGGTTAGTTATCAGGTTGTAGTATGAGTGATCTTGTTTTTAACTGAGAAATTTCCTTTGAAACGTCATGTTTTTACATCAATCAAAAATCATTTTAAAAGGTTCATCTGCATCATGAAACTGTGGGCTTTCTTTGCACGTTCTTTGCGATTGAGTTTTGGGCTTGCAGAAAGGGGGGGGGTCTAGTGGGGAAGCTGGCAGTTTGTTTTAGAAAAATCATTCAGTGATGTCTAAGCACTATGATCAGTCACAATTCTCCACAATTTCTCCGTGATCACAACTTCTTGCAATTTGGGATGGCACCAGCGCCAAATAAGGACGCATAGTCGCAAACAAGATTATTGATCATCTATAAATAGACTTTTACTGAAAACGTACAGAAAAGCTGTGGCACCAAGCTATGGCTCTGAATGGCGTCAAGTAGCGGGTAAAATGGATGCCATGTTAGCCCCCTGGATGTCACGTCTTGAGCGACCTTCCTGGTCAGTGCTGTCAATAGTAAATGGTGAACCACATTCAACAAACCTTCTTCGATGGTGATGGCCTCGTTGAATTGCTGCTTCCAACTGCTTGTGCCTACCATGATTGATGTGTTTGCGTTGGTGAGCATTCTATCGACGAAATTCTTGAACTCCTTGTCTTCGGTGATCACCACCTTGCAGCGACTCAGCGATAACACTGGTCGACCCTCTAGTCCTTCCTCCTGAATTATCTCCACTAGTGAAGTAACGAGTTTTCAACTATTTCTAGAAATCCTCACCCCATCTTCGATTTCCCGATGCCAAACCGGCTCGCCTAGCTCGATGAAGAATTCCTCACTTTTCTCGTATTCATCGTCGTTGACAATCGGTATGTGAATCTCAGCCCTAAACTCGGACAATGACAATGGAATCTCAGCCACAAACTCAGACAGTGACGATATCTAGATATTCTGGGGCTACAGAATATCTAGATATCAATTTATTTACCAATTTAGTTTGATCTTACTTGATCTGTTCGTCCTCAAAACGGATCATGCCTTCCTGATGCTCATAATCGGCACCGGCTTTTGCTTGTCCGTCCACTGTCTTGTATGGAATTGACACCTCACCACGAGCTCCACGGGTTCGAATAATCTGCAAAAGACAAGTGATGGTTGGTTAGCGTTCAGCGTTCAGGTGATTCTGCCGCTTCTCTTACCTCGGCGACAAATTCTCCTGCGCTTTCCACTACTTTGAACTTCTCTGAAGCAAAACCGAATGCTCCAGCATGGTCATCGTCAACTATGAGTACCGTGGCGGTGGAAGCTGCTCCAAGACGAACGGGAATGGGTGTGAACTGTGACGGTGAATGGGCGCGGACCTGGAATGGAAAAGAATGCTGTGAAATAGAGTCAGCAATACAGAGCTGAAAGTTTCTTCAGTGAGGCTCTGTCCTCAGAAAGAATCGAGCGGATACTTATGCTATGGTGGATGCCTTCCGATGCCATGCAGTCTTGGCAGTGTAGCGGATTGAAGTAATAAGAGACACTTTGCAGGGAAGTTCGGCGTTGTCATAGCGTGCATAGAGACAGCGCGCGCGGAAATACTGCAGTTTTATCTTCTGAGGGATCGTTCTTCACAAGGAATTACTAAGATAATTGCAAGTGGTAATTGATAGAAGAATCAGAAAACTGCGCACGTTATAGTCAATTTTAATTGACGCTGCTGAAGTGTAGATGCGGCATGGAGCTGTGATCAGTAAATCTGTTGTATAGTAAGTGAACGCGTTTGTCGCTAATGTCCATATATTAGGTTGGAGATCTTGCATCAACGTGTCTACGGTCGTTTCGCGCTTTTCCAAGAACCTTGCCGAACCACTTATTGAGGGTATCGATGTGCGCCACACCATAATCACCCTCAGGAAGCATCCACACTAAGAACCCCCTGCCCCGATCACCACTCTCGCCATCTGTGCAGTATTTATTTAATTCTGATACCAGTCGACACAGTCCAGACTTTCTTCTCTTCTCGCCAATGCCGTCGAGGCGGAAGAGAAGGGATTTTGGGAGTACCTACTACCTTCTAACGAAAAACACGTGAACCCCTCATTCTTCCGATGTCAATCCAATTTCGCACGTTTCTTTTGTAAAGTTTCGCCAAATGTCGCAAAAGCCCGTCAAACGGCTCACTTCGCCGTCCACTTAACTTTCCCACCACATTCCACAAATAATCCAACGTTCCCTCTCTACTCACGGTTAACCTTAATCAACATCAAAAACGACTTCTCCTACCAGCCGTTTTCCCTCGTTCTATTAGTGCAAACGGACGGTTGACCCTGGAAGGGGCGTACCTGCGAGCTTGCTGAACACACTGGCACACTGGATAGATACCCCAGTAGTGCCTTAATTGGGCTCAAATCATAGAATATTCTCAAATGGTATTTTGGAACCTACACGTCTTATGCATGTTTTCTCTGAGGATTATGCAGCAAAAAACCATCGCATTGGTCATTTCTGTAAGTTCTAACAATTACATGGACGGATAGCTCTACTACGATGAGATATTTACTGTACGGTCCTTTGAAAACCTATCAGTACAAGGCAGCCATACGGTTCTGCCCATGATACGAACAGCTGAACTGGCGATGAGATTTGCATTTATTTTATGCATTTTACTTTATTTTATTTACATTTCAATCCGTGATCCCATTTTTTGTACAAAAGTTGATCCTTTTCAGCGCACCATTCACTGACACAGGAGGAGAACGAATCAACATTTAGTATAGCGATTTTGAATTTCCCCTCATACCTGTGACAGTCGGACCAAAAACTGCTCGTCCTCTTCGTAAATATCATTATCGACGATGGCTATTTCTATCTCCTGCCTGAAAACAATTTCGGTTTAGTCACACATGATTAGCCTCGGTACACTTCGAATGTTAACAAATTTGTGCTGGCGACCAAATAAGGCTTATTCTTGTGGACGCCAACTGAGATAGCAGGCAGAGGTCATTGTTGGGCTTTTCTTTATTATGCAAAGCCACTTATTGTATTGTATTAAGCGGACCCAATGGACAGCTGTGAGCAGCACTAGAAGGAAGTTCCAAAGGGGATCCGGCTCATAAATCTATAACCTGTCGTTAAGTTTTTGAATTTTTTTTGCAATGTCAAGAATTCATTTTTCTTGCAAAACCAGACCATGATAGTAATGTAAAAATTGGAGCAGAATGAAATGGTAGAAGAAGGAAATTGAGAGCCAATCATTTTGATTACCATGCACTTCTTTTCTCGATTCAGATTCGAAGACTGCTACCAAGAGATATCATATTACCAGTAGATCTAGACTTGAAGGGGTTTGCGATGAGATACTTATGTAGGGATCCTTAAGGATCTCCTCACTGAGGTAGCAGAGTCCCCAGTGAAGAAGTTGTGACACTGTCCGTGACTCGAAGCGCTTAGATGCAACGCCTTTCTGATCGTCGCAGTGCCCGGCTACTTTATAGCGTTGGGGCACGATTTTGGAGTTACCGGACACGATGCCTCTCATTCTCTTATAAAAACTCAATCAACTCACTGTCATCAAGCCGGCTTGAAGGTGAGAGTTCCCTCGACTGGAACAAAGTCTGAGTGTTCTTGAGCCGTGTCGGCCACTGTTCTGAAATAGGTCAATACAAATTTAAATATTTTATTCCTAAGGTTAGAGTTGGCTATCGGATATATAATTTTGTTATCATTACGGTATTCTGACCTATATTGTCTTATCCGAAAGATACTATACAATTCCCTACAAGAGAAGGGTCTTCACAAAGGCTTAGGACGTTCATTCAGAATGATCGCTGGCAGTCAACATCTCTACACCGTTGCTATCACTATGTTGACGCCTTAGGCGGTCAAGAGCTGATGGGAAGCTTTTGAAGTGGAGCAAGTCCGCTTGCATGGGACCAAGTGACGGAAAGTGTCAATCGACTGAGATCTGCCAAGCCACCGAACAATTGAGAAAAGAAAAACCACCATAAACAAAATATTATAACGCGGCTCGTTTCGCTCCTTCCTCACATGAACCTTATTATTTCGTCAATCCCCGGCGCTCTTCAGTGAGTTGGGATTGGCAGAATAAAGACACTTCGACAGGAAGACCAGGAGCGATTTGTTCAGTAAATTAAAGGACGAATTCACGATGAAAAAGCAACCCATTTCAAATTAACCTAGGGATGGTGAGTGGTACACGAAAGAAGGAAGAACCATGAGAAACGGCCCAGAACCCGAGAAATGGTACCCCTTCCTTGCCCGTTGATTCGAGCATTGATGCGACTCTCATCGCTGTGCCCTCTTCAACACTACGCTCTCTCAGCTATCTAATCACTCGCCACGTATTGAACTACGGCGAGTGATCAGATGATCGGTGGGCGGAGATCGCCGGACCCGCCAGCTTTGAGGCATGATAGGTCGCCGAGGTCAAATTTTTCCATGCGAATTGCGCGTCAGTTCGCACCCTCAGGAGGTCCGTGGGTCCCTCAACTAGGTCAGTTTCCCTTTCTTCGACCTTCATTCTAATCGTGAATTCCTCCTTTAAATTAGGTGAAAAGGCATGGCACGGATAATCGGTCATAAGAGGGAGACTGCTCGCAGTACCCCCTCTAAATGTTGGATCAATTCTTGGATTTCCTTTAAAATTTGAGAAAGTACCCTAAACACAGAGCAAACTCTCACCTATAGTGGACTGTCACGGTACAATTGGGATCAGCTGTCCCACGATCGCACTTCACCTTGACTTTTATAGTGCCGACGTTTTCAAGACACATGTAGTGAGCTGGATCGAATCTGAACGACTTTACTCAAATGGCATTTCTCAAAGCAGAATAGGATTTCAGATCGGCCTTAAATTCGTCAGCAACGCACTCGACAACGGGCACTTCGGACTTCTTTATGAGTGGTTCGATCAGCTCTTCTGCTTTTTTCTTCAACTTTTTCTTTGTGATGTCTCCTTGCCCAACAAGTTGACGGGTGGCCTGAATAGTAAGGTGGTTAGGGGAATATTTGGAATTAGGGTGTAATATGACAGTTACCGTGAATATTTTTAAGATTTTACCTGGATGCGATAGAAGGCGCGACTCTTCTTCTGACGACTCACTACGCGTTCAGTCGCCAGCTTCTCCAACTCCGCCACTGGAGCGTCAGGATGTTGCGCACTACAAAATTACCACTTACACACTTCTTTGATTGGCTTGTTGCTCAATCTTCCCATAATATTTTATTCAGACAATGTAACCACTAGAAGAGGTAGCTAAACGATACCGTAGCGATTTGAAGATTTCCAAATACTGCTTCCGGTGCTCCTCAAAAGCTATCGCGTCCGCATCCGTGGTGGTATGGATGAGAGACATCCTGAAATAATGAAAGACAGAGTTTTTGCAAAAATCTGTGGCATTTCTTCAACGAAATACTATCGAAATAGGTCCCTAGAGAGCTCAAGGCCTTTGAGGGAAATTTTCATTTTGTCTCACGTGTGATTTTTGCCCTCATCAACGTAACTAAAACATGGAGTGAGCAAATGTTTCGCATCATCGGTGTAGTCTTTGGCCTCTAAAGAAGACAAAGAGACCTCTCAAGAGTACGGAGAGGTCAGAATAAAGGTCAGGCAGTTTAGGGTTCTATCAGCTTTTCATGCCAACAAGAAGATACGTGGTCTGTTCCAGGCACTACCCCTAAAGCCAGGGCTTCGCTGGAGTAAGGGGGAGCATGGTGCTACAATTGGGTGGGCTCCCGTAACGAAAAAACATCAGCAGTCATTACATCTGCTTGAACTTCAAAGCAGTCAAAAGCAAACAAGTCAGGTAATTAATGAACCAAAAAAAACTAAGAGGTGTTCGAATAAGTATATACTGCTTTCGAAACCGTGGATGGCACTGTCCGATATCAGACCACATCCCACAGTGACGACGGCCTTCCAAGTAAATCTGGTTAGTAGTTCATAGTGATAGCTGATTTTGGTAAATGATAGTTGTAATTAGTGACAACTGATAGAATACAACTGCAACAGGCTAATCATTTCATTGGCAGAAAACATTTACATTTTGTGGAGGCCGTCGTCACTTGTGGTGTGTGGTCTGCACTCGATGCGCATCTGGTTTCACAAGCAGGGGTATGTACCATAACTGAACCTTTAACTACACCCGGAGGCTGAGTTGCAGTTTTTGAATGTACCGTTCCGTCCTCGCCTAGAATCTTACGTACATGTTCTATCGTTAGCAGCAAATGTCTCCCCCCCCCCCCGTCTCACAACAAAATCGTATAGCATACATTATACGAAGTTATACGAAAAGGCCCACGGTTTTCGAGGAAGCGCTGAGCAAGCTTTCCAGCTGATTTCTTCAAGATCAAGCCCATGGTTTTGAAGATGATTGAAGCAGGCAAAATGGGCATTATAGGTATTTTCAAGTTCTTTATCCAGATGGAGACTTTTTATACAAGGTGGAGTTTGCTATCACATTTTGCATATCGCGCAACTCCGGTGAACTGCAGCATTCGAAATGCCTGTGAATGGCTTTGCAGGATGCTCAGCTGAAGGTTGAAGACACTTAAAGGACGAATTCACGATGAAAAAGCAACCCATTTCAAATTAACCTAGGGATGGTGAGTGGTACACGAAAGAAGGAAGAACCATGAGAAACGGCCCAGAACCCGAGAAATGGTACCCCTTCCTTGCCCGTTGATTCGAGCATTGATGCGACTCTCATCGCTGTGCCCTCTTCAACACTACGCTCTCTCAGCTATCTAATCACTCGCCACGTATTGAACTACGGCGAGTGATCAGATGATCGGTGGGCGGAGATCGCCGGACCCGCCAGCTTTGAGGCATGATAGGTCGCCGAGGTCAAATTTTTCCATCAGTTCGCACCCTCAGGAGGTCCGTGGGTCCTCAACTAGGTCAGTTTCCCTTTCTTCGACCTTCATTCTAATCGTGAATTCTTCTTTTAAGCGATGAATGGGGGTGCACTTGAAAATGTACGTGGTTTGAGATAATTAGTCCACCAGCAATGGCGAAGAGCAAAAAATGCCAAGAATCTGGAACAACATTGTGCGCTACTCGTAAGGGTTGGGGTGTGCGCTCCACGCTTACAGATAACTCATTGGATGGCTCAGTGGCTTCACCGAATCTGATGTACTTGACCATATCAAGAGGAAAGGATTAACATATACCCATGCTACCTAGCTACCTGGCTTACCGTATACGTCACCAGTGACCACTCTGTTCAATGTGTTCTTTTTTGAGTGCAATAACCCAAATCTGTCAACCGTGCAATATTCCATTAACTGTTCTCAAGGTTATAGCAAAAAGATTAGGTGATAATTGATCAAATAATCATAGGAATTGGTTGAGACCACTAGATTTTGAGAAGGTCATCTGCAGGTGCGCTTCGCTGCAAACTTGTTGCCACCATCTTTATCCAAATTTCAGATAAAATGAGTAATAAAGTCAATGAAAACTATTGAAAATAATATTGTGAGGATTCTTGCGTG